ATCCTACATATCATGTGTATCAATAGTATGTGTTTTGCATGTTAAAATTTTAGCATGTTTAAGGGGGAAGGGGGGGGGGGGGATAAAATAAGAATAGTGAAATATTATGGGGGGATCAAGAAAATTTTATATGTTTGATTTCAAAATGACCTGCTACCCCCCCCCCCCCCCCCCCCCCCCCCCCCTTTCCCAGGTAAAAAATGATAAGTCCCTAAAAGATAAAAAAAAAAAACAAATCATGAGAGGATCACGACATCTAAAATTTCAATTTTGTCATCAGTGATTGTCATCAGTGATTACGTATATGGGGTAAATCTTTTGCTTTGGTGCGTACTATTTTTAGTTTCGAAAAAAAAGGTTGTTTTAACTTTTATAACATGGGTCAATGAGAAAAAAACTGACCTTTTACTATATTTTGTTCACATTAAAACCTTCAAGTATTAGGTACCAAGAGGAGATGGTGGATGAATGTTATCCAATTTTTATCTCAATAAAAGAATTTGTTCAGGGATTATCAATTTACCAATCACAATGCATGTTTATTAGAATATCAAAATTCGGCCAGATAGTATTGGATATCGACCCTCGGTACGTTTTTAGTAGAAAGAGATTCATTTAAATGTTTTCTAACACATTTCATAAGATGGATAATTATATCAGTTTGAAAAGCAAAAGATTGTTCTAGAATGCATTTCTGTTCTGTAGTTTTGAGATATGCATTAATCGACCTTATTATCAAGTACATCTTTCTTATAGGTAAAGATCTTGTTATTCAATTCGAACAATACAGTGATCTGGGAATCGGAATAACTATCAGATAATTTTAGAATTTATGTTACAATAGTAAACCAACGCACAAACAACCAATAAAAAGTGAGTACTAACAATGTGACACTCTATGGTTCATAAACAAATGATTTTCACTCCAGATATACGTTAATAATTAGTGAATTGTTTGCCTCACTGCCGCAATGAAAACTACAACACTCCAACTATTGTGCATGTGTTCAAATATTACAGGAATATTGTGTTGTTTGGTGCAGTAAAAAAAACATTAGCGTTTCAAATGATTCAAACATTTACGAACAGTCAATATCTGTGCCTACCGTGAGAAACGTTTAAATCGCATACTTATAACTGGAAATTTAAAAAAAATGATTGCATCAATGATATTGCATGTCAGAAAAGAATTGTTCACCACATGGCTGGTGATACCACCGGGAACAGAACGTGCATCATCAATGGAATCAACATAATGATTTTTTAAAATGAAAATTACGTCCATTGAAATACTGAACGTAACTGCAAACACGCGCAAATCAAACTAATTGAAAAGTGTACACCTCATAAACAGAATCTAACGAAACATTACCATCTAGAAAAGGAAATTTTGCAACACAAAATGAAAAATCATTTCGTAAAAAAATCATAAATGTTGTAAAAAGATTGGTGGGAAATTCTATTATCATTGTGTAGAAAAGACGCAATCAGATTCAGTTTAAAATTTTGATTTAGCAAGAATGAATTTTGCATATTGAGATAAGTCTTGATTGTTTACAGAATACATTGTATCTGCATATTGTTGAACACATCTAGTTTCAAATTGTGTCTTGTTGAGTGCATTGATGTATTTATATAAAAAAGTAATACCAAAAATACCGAACTCGGAGATAAATCTAAAAAAAGGGATGTCCATAAAATCTGAAAAATCAAACATTAGATATATAATATTTATCTTTAAGCAGCGATTCAAATCAAATGGTAAAAAAAAACAGGTGCAATGCAATGGCAAAGTTAGTCCTCAAAGGAAATACAATCACTTAGTTCATTTTACTACAAAACGACATGCAAGAATCGAATGACTTGTAAAAAGTAGAAAAAAAAAAAAAAAAAAAGAAATTCCAAGCAAAATTCAAAACGGAAAGTCCCTTATCAAATGGCAAAATCAAAAGCTCAACAAATCAAACGAATGGAAAACATTGTTTTTGTCTCACCTGTGACGAAAGTCGCGGAAAGCGACACATAGGGATAGCTTTTCTGGCGACGACGACGGCTCCGGCTCCGGCTCCGGCTCATGGGTCAACAATTGTTAAGTTTTCTGCTTAAGTTAGTTTGATAGGAGCTACTTTCAGTACATATCAGTTTGATGACTATTTCGAGGCCCTGCCCCCTAGGACATGGTCCACTGACTTTGAATTAATTAGCAATTTTTAATGTTCAGTTTTTCTGCTTAAGTCAGCTTGATAGGAACTACTTGTGATAGATCAATGATATTTTGTATGAAGTTGCATTACTATCAGTACATATCAGTATGCAAACATATATTCCCAACAGGCATTACGAATGTGGATAATTAATGAACCAAACTTCAAGTAAAGCATGTTTAATAACAAAGAAATGTCTACATTTATTAGTTACATAACGGGAAATCCGTGTGAATATGTCATTTTTCAATGACTAGGAAAACATATTCACAAACTATTTCACTCTTAAAAAACATAACGTAAACACTATACAATTTTGTGCTATATCTAACTCGCACGTTGTTGGTCTTATTTTCTTATGAAGGCATGTTAGGGGTTCCGATCTTTTTTGTTTATATTGCTTAAAAAAAAAAAAAAACGGCCGAAAATCGTTGCGAAAGTAAATTTCCCTTATCAATAGTTAATGAAACCGTATCTGGTTAGAATGTTTATATTGAAAGTTTCCGTGGCAATGAACAGACGAACGTGCTAGTAGACCACTAAATTATGGGAAAAAAGTATATTTCGAGAAATTGTTCCATGCTAACGACTATGTAGAACACTCTGAAAATAGTGGTATGGAAGGAGCTATACATAATATATGCACATGATTTTTTTCCATATGTTTTGATATGCAGGTAAGATTTCCCAGTACCAAAGTAATTACTACTGGGGAAAAGGGATGACACCTCGATGCCTGATAAAAAAGAAACAATGCTATTGACCAAGTATGAGTTAAAGGGTAAAATAGTATGCCAATTTTACCTAACCTTAGATAAACAAAATATCTAATTGTCGTAATAACCTCTTTATAATGCAGGAAAATTATCATTTTATCGCTTTTTGAAATGATTGGATTTGATAGATCTTTTATAAGGGATGGATATGAGTTGGAAAAAAGATGTGGTCTTGCTTTCTGAAAAAAAATAACTGTGATAATCAGTAGAATATTCTGGTGAAATCACATTCAATAAAGATGGAGCAAAATAAAAATAAAAATATCATATAATTTTGCATAGATATTTAACAAAAAAAACTTTCCTAGAGCAATCACTTTACACGTTCGTGCCTCATATGTGTGACATGTACAGGTATGTCAATTAAGAAATAGTTCATGCAAGCCATAGATTTGTTGGAAATTTTCACATGACCTGGGCCGTTATTTTCGAATTTTATCTCGAGCGTTAGTGAGCGATAAAATAAACGAATATAACGGCCCAGGCCATGTGAAAGGATAACAAATCTAGGGCTTGCATGAACTATTTCGATTACAATAGGACAAATACGGTAATTTGAAAAACTGAAGCGAAGGTAAGAATGCCGTGTGTATGGCTGTTCTATTTTACCCCCTGTAAGATAAAAGCTACAAATTTCAAATAAATCTAAGGCTTGCATGAATTATTTCTTAAATAATCACTAGAAAAAATGTGTTCAATCCATAAAATTCTTAACCCAAACATTTTTTTTCGTTGGCTATTATTTACTGTCAAATCCACAGTTGATATGTCGTAACTAAGGAGTGAGCCGCCATGTTGACTTGCTGAAATTCATGAATGTGCGAATGATACAAAAGAATAGAAAATGAAACAACTACCTGAAAACTCCATTTTAGTGCAATATTATCCAAATTTAGAGCGTACACGTACTGGAATAATCTTCAGCTTGAGAGTTTTCATTCGTATGACGTCATGTTTTGACAGGACGTTAATGCGCAAAGATCATTCATGAAATTTCGCGGCATTTTATTTTATTTTGATTTTATACATTTTTTAAGTTCTTATGCATTAACTCTTTTTGTTATGCATTAGAATAGCAGTAACAGTTTCGTAGTTTCTTTTTTAATTTCCATTTGAACACATAACGAAATCTTCATAGTGTTTGCACATAGGTTACGATACATGTGGATTTACATGGGAGGTAAATTAATATGTACATCACTGAGTCTGCGCTAAGTATAGATATATCTAGAATTTTATCACGCTGTTGTTTACAAAAGCGAAAGGAGCACGTCATATTAGAATTAGCAGTAAATATTTACTGGTGTCCCTTATAATAAGGAATCAGTAAGATGAGTCAAAAATATTTCTTTATCTTCAATATCATCGGGAAAATCTATGTAAACTTCCTCTTGTACAATTTGTAGTATCTTATTTGGAATTCGATATCGTAGTATTTCTTCCTTAAAGACAAGTATTAACATATTTGTGCCTTGTCGCGACATCACGTTTTCTGTATGAGCCATGTGTATTTCATACATACACCATTCAGATTTTTAAAAAGCCTCTGTGATGATAAACACAACCTTTCGGCTTTGGTGTATAGCATTAATGATATTATCTGCAATATCACATCCGGGTATAAAATCTCGATGATGGATGCAAAGTCTTAAACATGCTTCCTCCTCTAACTTTGCTTGAACATTTTTTGTTACAAAAACTCTATCTTCATCTGCATAAGAAATAAACGCATCAAAGCGGTAACGCTTTTCGCGTGGAAGCCCATTGTATCCTTGGAAATAATGACGTTTAGCTATATAATACCAATATCTTAATTTCCATCGGTGTCTGTAAAGTATTGTTATTACTAAAATGGCTAAAAAGCATATGATAAAATTGATTGCTAAAACTGTTATACTGACATAGGAGGAACATTTCTTTTGCAAATAAATTTTTGCGGTTTGAATACCAACGGGATTTGTAAGTTGACAGTTATACTTTTTAAAATTTTGAAACATGTTTCGTCGTTTGATAAGCCACGTTATAAAACTGTAAGAATCACAATTACATTGAATAGGATTTTGTGATAAATCTATGGAAAGATTTGTAAGAAAAAGTGAATCAATTAAAGCCATTCCAGTGTCAGACAGATAGAGAATTTGGTTTTCAGACAAATTTAAATAAGTCAAATATCTCATATGCTTAATTGTAACATTCCAATCAGTGAGTTGGTTTTTACTAAGATTTAAATGACGCAATTTTTTCAGATTCCAAAATATTTCTCTCGGTAAGAACTTTATCCGATTCGATGTCAAACTTAGATGTTTCAGCTGTAATTGCATTGAGAAAAGGTTTCGTATATTTTTATCATGAATAATTTGTGCATTCCCAATTAAATTGTTATCCAAAATCAATGTTTCAACTGCTAATAATTCACTGAAAATATAAGCTGATAAATACGAACATTTATTATTTGAAAGATCTAGATAATTCAGTTTTGTTGCATTACATATAGGCCCAATGGGTGAGTAAAACTGATTGTGGCTTAAAATCAAGGATTTGAGATTTGACGAAGTAAAATAAGTATATGTTAAAGAATGTCCTAATCGAGAATTATTCATTATGATCTGTTCAATATTTTGTGGCACAAAAATCATATGAACATTTGTTGCATATGGTACTGGAGTACTACAATTCAAAGGATACGTAATATTAGTTTCATCATAGTAACCACCGCGTTTTGTCTGCGTATAAAATGTTTCACCTCTTCCTGGGTTAAGACATCCTTTAATACATGATTCCGGAACACGGGGATTCAAAGTTTTCCCGAATAAACTGGATCGAAGTTTTTCACAGTTAATGATGCGAAATAAATTTTGACAGAATGAATACTGTTCATCAGAAGATATTTGATGTTGATTCATATCACTGATATCAAGATAGGTAAGATTTGTCAGCCCCAAAATATTACAGTATGTATATCTATTCTGAATCCACCGGTTGCTTTTCAACGTTAAACGTTTGAGTGACGCAGGTAGATAATAAGGCACTCCAGTCTGTGCAAAATCAATATTGTTGCCGTCAAAATACAATTCTTCAAGAGAAGTATTTATTAATGGTTGAATATCCTCGCATAAAAGTGTGACCGAAGGGCCAGCATCACAATGCAAAAAATTTGCCCTCAAAATCCTGATCTGAGTGAAAGGAAGGTCATGTGTTATATTCGAAAAACCACATAATCCTAATTCTCGATTATACGACACATCAAGATGTATCAGGTTTGATAATTTTGAAATGGCTCCACTATAAATATAAAAAATAGAACAATAAGAAGTTTTCCATACCATTGTCGTAAAATTCCGTTTCATTTCGGATGAAATATCTAATGATATTAAATTCAATAAATTATCAAAGTAGTCTTTCCGTATGGTAAGAAGTCTGTATTCATTACATAAGCCATACAATCGCAAATGTCTTAAGAATTTAAGTTTTTTAAATCTAACTCCAAACGAAATTTTCTCAGACCCATCTATTGCAAAAGTTTTTAACGAAACAAGAGGTTGAATAACTCGATCTAAATTTCTGAATTCATATCGAGTTAATGTATTTCTTGTCAGATCTAGACTTTTCAACTTTGTAAGTTTCATAAATATATCTTTCGTGTAGATTTGAGGATCCAATGGTATAAAATTTGATGATAAATTAAGTGATTCCAAATTATTGATATACGTAAACAATTTTCTCGACTTTTCAGTGTCGATCCTGGCTAATAGATTTCCGGAAAGATTTAAATGTTTTAATGTAGTGGGAACATCAATTGTTGACGGAAAATTCTTCAATTTATTAAAACTTACATCTATTGTTACGATGCCATCAAGGAACTTTGGATAAGAGTTAAGGTTAAGTCCAGAACAATCAGCAAACAATCCCGATTCAACTTCCTTGCACTGGCATCGCTTTTCTGTTGTACACTGTTGACCGTTTTGCCCAAAAATAAAGTTGAAATAGAAGACACTCAATATCGAGATCAACAACATTTTATACTATATATTAAATACTTAAAACTACTACAGTCAAACAGAGAAAATGCAGGCATGATATGTAAACATTTGCTACTACAAAATGTCGATCATATAAAACAGAACAAGCAAATACTTATCTTTTTTATTGGCGGAAAGACGAATCACGTGATTCAATGATATGTTTCTAATTTACATATACAATCTAGTTCTGTTTACAAAGAATATATGTTTCATTCCTCTAATAAGCGTCCAAAGAGAGTATACAACACAAAAAAATAAATTATGCCGTTAGTTTTCTGAATTGATTTGTTTCACATTTTTTATATGGAGGCCTTTTATAGCCGACTATACGGTATGGGTTTTTCTCAATGTTGAAGGCCGTATGATTGCCTGTAATTGCTTACATCCACTTCACTTAAATTTTGGTGATAGTTGTTTCATTTTCAATCATGCCACATCTTATTTTCATATTAACATTATATATTGCTATTAGGTAAAATGATTTAAATGTGAATCAGTTAATCTTATGTAAAATTTAAAAATCGTTCGCTTTTTTCCTAGACAAGCTGTCTGTATGTATTATGGTCAAAACTAAAATGACTTTAAAGTATGTAGACCAGTTTTCAACGTTACAAAAATGAAAAAAAGGAGGTTAAGAGCAACACCTGAAAGTATCTCCACTGAGCAAGAAAACCGATGGAAACTAGATTTGTCCGATGGAAACATACAGCGCCAGAACGATTTTCACCGAATCGACTATTCAGTTCACATATCTTTGCAAATTAAGGATGTACTTAGATGAGGTTTTGGAATTTTTGTCAAATGTTCGGACTCCTTGGTTTTTCCCTACGATTCAGGGTAAAATATTTTGCCCCATAACACCCATTTTTCTTTTCATATAAGACTTCAATAGCTCATAAAAGGTCATTTACCAAAATTTCAGCAGATTCTAATTTTCTTCTCTTTCGATTTGAGACCCAAATAATACCAATGCAAATATAAGGAAAAGTCCGAGTAAGCCTTTTCCCGCCATTTAAAAAAAAATTAAATATCTCTAAAAGGAGCTCCATAACCTATCAATATTTTTGGCTTATTCCTTAACTAATGCTCTTCTGACTTATAGTATCAATTTCATATTCTAGATTTTTTTTAATTTCACCTAAGTACATCCTTAACAAGCTAAAATAACAGAGAAATAAAAGAAAATAATGTAAACAACATATTGAAAAATCCCTTTTAGATAAACAGCGTTATACGTATCTAAACATTAGTAGTCTACTCCTCTTTTCCTAATATAGCTTTTTTTTGAAACCCTGGACTTCTAGTGATTTGAATGTTGCTAGGAAAGACTACTCCAGAAAGGTGCTTCATACGCACACAATTTATAAATGTTTTTTTCAATTAATTAATTGGTTAATTAATGCATAAATTTCTCGTTTTTTATATAGATTAGACCGTTGGTTTTCCCGTTTGAATGGTTTTACACTAGTAATTTTTTGGGGCCCATTATAGCTTACTGTTCGGTGTGAGCCAAGGCTCCGTGTTGAAGACCGTACTGTGACCTATAATGGTTTACTTTTATAAATTTTGACTTGGATGGAGAGTTGTCTCATTGGCACTCATACCACATCTTCTTATATCTATAAATGATTTGACCGGTAATTGGTACAATTTTCATTTGATCTTAACTGGCTATCAGTATCACTACCAGGTACGTGGATCATTTTGCCTGCGCGAGTGAAGTATTTCAATTCAAATTATACACAACAACGATAGATACAGTAAGTGCATGAGAAGCACAAATTCGTAACTTTTTATAAGAGGACGATCTGCGTCTGACAAACCAATTGATACTTTTGGTAATAGGTAGGCAACCTAACAACGAAGCCTTGAAGTCTGTTTTTAATTTCGCTCGGTGCCTTCCTGTATCAGTGAGGAATCATAAAAATGAAAATAAGAAAATACTCTCAGCTGATGTTGTGACTATCTGGACCATCCCTAGGGAGGAAATATAAAATGCCCGACTCTGTAATGAACGAAAATAAATTATCCGTATATTGATGGGTTATAAATATCCTGACTAGCAAAATATTTGAAATAATTATGAAGACTATAGGCTACAGTCCCGACAGTCCAAGTAATCAAAGATTGTATTCATATAAGATAAAAAATCCGGATTTAGTTAGTGATTTTCTTTTTCTAATTCTCGATTAAAAAAACAAATAATAACTTTTTTTTTAAATAAAGTGAGTTTCAAAAACAAAGCATCCATCATGCAAAGCTCTGGTTCCTTGCCCTGCTTTGGCTTTGTCTTTTTTAGTTTATCAGCTCTTCATCTTTTCAATAAGCTTTGGATTCTCAAATTGTTTGGCCAAAGACCATGTATCAGCGATGTTTTAGCGTATCTACGAAATTAAACAGACTGACTGCTGATAGCGAATTACTATTTATATTTTCGCTTTAATTAATGTGGGTCTTATTCGTGGCTAATGGCCCTTTAAAACTTTAAAAAAATATTTTCTTTATCTTCTAAGAAGAGAGCAATGGAACAACAGGTTTTCAGGCTGATTTTGAATCCATATTAAGATAAGAACTAAATTTAGCAAACGTGGTCATTTCTACTATGATACAAATCAAAAGTTCCAGAAAAAGAACTTCACGTTAACAAGAACAACTTGCATCAGTTTATCATAAAAGTCCAAAACACCTGAAGGAATTGCAGGAATTGCACAGAAACTTTAGGGATAATATTATGCCGGACTGTACACTGAAAACGATGATCACATCAGGACCTACCGATCACAACGAAAGTACTGAAACGGATGACTTTAATAATATGAGTAATTGCGTTTATCAAGATAGTTTAATAACTGTAACTTTGCAATGGGCCTTTTATATTTATTTCTATTAAAAGAGAACTTGAATTAAACGAAAACAGCACTTTAAGAAATTCGTGCGTCCGAAGAGTTTTTCTGGATTTACCATACCAATTTGAATCTTTGTTTGGGAACGCTAAAAATTTGAAACCAATGATATATAAATACATTAAACGTGAGGAATAATTAACTTGGACATAAAAGGTATAGCAAAATTAATCTTGTTGGAGTTTTTGCTTTAATAATTTCTTAAATTATGATATGACCATCAGTGCTATCGACCTAGTGCTGGTAAACGAAAATAATACTTTATAAGTATCGTGCTATCAAAGCACTGAACTGGATACACCTTTATCAGGAACGCCCACACTCAAAATTGTTAATCCAATTAAATTCATCAACATCTCTTGACAAGTTCATTTCATTACTTCAAATATAAGAAAAGAATTAAATTTGTTATAAAAAGTCTGAGAACAAAAATGTTACAAGACGAAGAGACGCCATTAAATAAATGCCTTTGTTAGTCTTGTATCATTTTTAATTTTAGTTTCCTGTGTATAATTTGGAGTTTAGTTTGACGTCCATTATCACTGAACTAGTATACATATTTGTTTAGGGGCCAGCTGAAGGACGCCTCCGGGTGCGGGAGTTTCTCTCGCTGCATTGAAGACCCATTGGTGGCCTTCGGCTGTTGTCTGCTCTATGGTCGGGTTGTTGTCTCTTTGACACATTCCCCATTTCCATTCTCAATTTTATGTATGCAAAATATGGAATTGTAAAATGTTCGATAGCTGTTTTGAGCATGTTTGTCCAAAAACACTTGAACCTTTGGGTAAATGTCTGTTTATTATCCTAAAATGACCAATCAATCGGGATGTGGCACACCCTATTGCCTGTTTCAAAACTATTTCTAACTTATAATTGATCTTTACCAAAACGCTGAGTGTTTCAAACTGTATTCTGTTTACAGTCCACTGTTTGCAAACGCATGCATTACAACCGTTAATGAATAAAGATTATGAACTACGACGCATAATGTTCATAGGAAGGCATACTTTATGTGGCAAAATTCACAAATTGACACTATCTCTGGAATTATAAATGCTAATTTTATCAGTTTTATTCGATATAAAGATGCAGTTTAAAAATTCTAATGCATTTAAAATGTCATCAAGTTCCGAAATATTGCCTAATGGTTTATTCCTTGAATGCCTACACCTTTTGATCTGCCGACGTAATACAGGTAAAGAAATGTAGGCATTCAAGGAATAATGTCTTATGAAAATTAAGTGTAGTCAAAACAAACAGTAATTATAATCTGTGCAGGTAAGCTGAGTTTCCCAATTAAAATTTCAGGTAATATTTTTATTTTCCTGTTTGTTTGCCATAAATTAATATTTTGTATTTTTTTTGTATGTTTGAAACGATTTTTTTAACGAAATTAAAGAAACACTCTTCTTTGACAGCTCAGTAAATGTTAACGAAAGATAACTAAAATAAGGAATATATATTTATTCGTGTTCAATTGATCAAGAATAAAGATAATATTCAAGATAAGAAAAAAAGCACAAAAATATAAAAGCACTTGTCACAACCACAAATAAAAAAAGCATACATGCCTTTGAAATTTACAACATGAATAGTCACACAGTGCCATCACAAGTATACACTAGTATATTGTCAATTTAGTCAAAATGAAGGAGGTATGAAACAGCATCTACAAACTGAACTGTCGAAATCTCTACGTTCTGGTGTCGGATCTTTAGGTTGGAGAGTCTATATTTAATTTCCCTGTATTTCCGTTTATTGGTTTGCTCATACATTAAATATTTCTATGAATAATACTTTAAACTTTAAATGATTTTTGTTTATAAATGTACTAGAATCATGTGCATAACAGCGTAGACGAGACCATTGATTGGCGCGCTAAAATATCCCATTGACTGGGTCAGATTAGGTGAACGTTCGTCTGTAACGCCCACTATTCACGACGTATTTGTTATAGACATTTAAACTGTGGAGTCACCAAAGGGTCTCCACGCCTAAATAAAATGATTCGAAAACAAAACTAATCAGGAATAACCTTTGTGTTTTGATTTATATTGAATACTTAAATGTTCTTTACTTGTGTTTTTGTTATGTTTTGATAATCAATTTTTATGATATCGCACGTTCTTTCAGCAAAAAAAAAAGGATTTAACTGGCTTTAAAAGTTACAATGTATGTGTTGATTATTATCTTGTTTCGGACGTCAAAGCGATTTAACAATTGCGGTTGTCCAATTATGTCATCTTTTAACTTTTATCTGGTCAAAATTTTATTTTAAAACGAATGCATGATCAACTTTTAAAAGTGTGCAAACACCAAACATATAGAAAAAATATACTTCTGTCCTGTCTTTTTCGTACTTGCAAGTTATTAGACAGTAAAAAGGCTATTTGGATCAAGCCTTGTGAAATTTGCATTTTCGTTTTTGAATAGGTAAAATGTATAGTTTGGTGAACTTTTCTGCTAACTACTTTACTTGTGAAAAACCCTTGGCAACATAAACATATTCAGCTTTTTTTTTTAATCGACCCAATTTACATAGTAATGGACGACATCGTACATTTTATGATCGCAAATAAAATATGTATATAATATACGGTGCACTGTAGTTCGTATATTCATTTTTTCTTTTGTTAATGGATTTTCCCGTCTTTCTGGGAGCGATTATTTGTTATTGACTCCTTAAGCTTACTCGCAAATAATTTAAAACCAAGACTTGCAAAAAAAAATGTCCAAACAAACCTTGATTTTCCTTTTTTTTTAAACATACATCTCAGCCATAGATAATGACTTAAATTCGCCAGGTCTTTAATTTCTAGTTAGTGAGTTGACCAAAGTAACATTGCGGACCATTTGCCAGTTTCCATGCGGTATCCGTGTTTTTTTCACTCGCTCTGTTCTGCATCCACTCATCTTTCGTGTTTGTCATGACAAGGCCATTTGAAGCTTTCATGCTATACAGTGTGTGTTTTGCTTATTGTTGAAGGTCGTACGGTGACCTATATTGCTAACGTCTGTTGACCGCTGGAAGGGATTTGTCTGATTGTCTATCACACCACATATTCTTATTTTTATATGCAGTTATATCTATAATAAAATTGAGAATTGAAACGGGGAATGTATCAAAGAGACAACAACCCGACCAAAGAGCAGAACATTTGTTTTTCGTTAATTGTTTTGTTGTAGATTAGGCCGTTGGTTTTCTCAATTGAATTGTTTCATATTTTTCATGTCGGGGACTGTTGTAGCCGACTATACGGTATGGGTTTTTCTCATTGTTGAAGGCCGTACGGTTGCCTATAATTGCTTACATCTACTTCATTTGAACTTTGGTGGATAGTTGTCTTATTAGCAATCATACCACATCTCCTTATTTTTATATAAAGTTGTATCAATTGTGACTTTAGATACATTGGTGTATTGATTTTTGTGTGCGTACAACGTCTAGTGTCAAATTTGTCATGCATGTTTAGGACTATTAAATATATTGCAGATAGTTTCGTAATTAAACGGCTTTAGATCTGTTATACGACAATAATACATAAAAAGATAAAAGGTAGGAAAATTAAGAGACCACAACAACAAAGACCATCGAGTCCTGTCCATAAATAGTAAGATAGACGTTTAATCAACAATGAACAACACAAAACCCGGATAGCCGGACGTTTGGCTCAAATTTAGTGGGGCTAATCCAGTTTAACATACAAGCCCTCCCTGGCTAGACTTGATGCAGGCACACAATCCAGTGGGTTAAATCAGTATAACATGCACCCTCCCCAGCCCGACTTTGGCACAATATGTAGCGGTGTATTGCTGTGTGTTTGTTTAATCTACATAGGCTAGAGGTATAGGGGAGGGTTGAGATCTCACTAAACATGTTTAACCCCGCCGCATTTTTTGCTCCTGTCCCAAGTCAGGAGCCTCTGGCCTTTGTTAGTCTTCATTTTGTATGTTTTTTAATTTTAGTTCATTTATTTGTTTAGGAGTTCAGTGTGACGTCCATTTTCACTGAACTAGTACACATTTTTGTTAAAGGGCCAGCTCAAGTGCGCCTTCGGATGCGGGATTTTCTCACTGTGTTGAAGACCCATTGGTGGCCTTCGGCTGTTCAAAGTTGTTTACTCTTTGGTCGGGTTGTTGTCTCCTCGAAACATTCCCCATTTCCATTCTCTATTTTAACATGCAACCTTTCAAACTTTTTTTGTCTGTCTTGATTATATTTGGCAATAAACAATAAAAGAAAAATAAACTACACAGCGCAGCTTCCAACAGGATTACAACAAGAAAATTAATTTTAAAAATGCGGTCAACAGTCAAAATTTATTAATATTATTAAAATTATTTAAAACAAATCTTTTAAAGTTTTGTGAAAAGAAAAAATTTCATTTTATGTATCGAAATGTGTAACAAGTGATCATTATTTAAATCCCCACTGGAAGGCCTCTGACAGACTGAGTGAGTGTAAAATCATTGTTATCGATAGCCAATGACAAACAAGTTAAATGTAATTTATTCAGTATTATTACCAACAAAAGTTTTACGGTTGTCTACGCTGTTATGAAAACGATTCTATTTTAGTCTTAGATGCATGATCTTTTTAACAGTTGTTATTGGCTTTGAACTAGCTGTCAGCAACTGCGAGTACTCTCAGATCTGTACTTAGTGTCTTTTTGTTGTGGGTATGTATAAGTACCCCGCCACGTCCACTCCGTGTTTTTGTTATGTTTATTTCTGCTTTGAATCCATCTGGCGAGTTAAGCCCTTTTCAACTGATTTTTATAGTTTGTTATTATGTTGTATTGTTACACCAAATTCCCAGATTAGGGGAGGGTTGGCGCCTTCAAACTAGTTTAACCCAGTAATTCAGTGGTTGTCGTTTGTTGCTGTATATTATATTTGTTTTTTGTTCATTATTTTGTACATTAATCAAGCCGTTAGTTTTCTCGTTTGAATTGTTTTACATTTGTCATTTCGGGGCCTTTTATAGCGGACTATGTGGTATGGGTTTTATTCATTGTTAAAGGCCATACGATGAACTATAGTCGTTAATTTCTGTGTCATTTGGTCTCTTTTGGACAGTTGTTTCATTGGCAATCATACCACATCTTCTTATTTTTATATTTAAAGTCTTTCTTTCATCATACGATAATGATACTGTCAACCACAAAAAGCTATATAAATGAGATTCATTATGTTGTGACTTGAACATGAAAAACTTCAATTAAAGCGGTTTTCCAAAACATTAATACACCATATCTTTTCTCTTTTTTTTATTTTCGGATATGAATGAAAAGTCGTGCTGAACGGTTTTAATTTTAAAAGACTCAACTGTGAATTTGTACAAAGTGTGAAACATTTTTTTCGCACAATATCTTCTTAATCACTTAAGTCATTGTGTGGGTCAGGATATCCATTTGAAAATAAGCGTTGGATGGACTATATATGTTTTTGTTCATAAGTTATTTGGGTATAATTTTTACATAATTTGCATATCTGCAAATAATTGAAAATGATTGATTGATTAACTTGATTACCTTCTTTTTCCTTACTACTTTCGTTTCTTAAGTAAACACTATGTCATTGTCAATTTCACTGCGATATAGTTTTGAGCGATACTATTGAATGGAATTCTTGGGTTCTAAAACCTAATAAAATATATCAGGCTTATGATTAGGTACACCGCCCGTTAATTGAAAGAATAAAATAACAATGTTTCGAAAAATTGGTTTGACAATTATAAGGATGAAATGTTTTTTTTCTCGAAGTCATACTAACTGTACACCTACTGTAAATACAAAATTCTAAAAGTACAGAAATAGTTAAGACCTCTATTAACATAATATATTAGATGAGAAACTCGACCAGTCAAAAGAACAGAAATATAACACGTTAGTGGTTGTCTTTTTCATGTCTTAATGGCATGTTTTAATATTTAGAGCTTCCAGTACTAGCTAACACTGTTCGATTGTTGTTTCGAAATAATGTTTTTAGAAGTACCGTAACGACGTAAACAAACTTTTAAACTTGTCACCTTAATCATACGAATTATTCATTTCCTTTTGATTTCACACTGCTAATATAAACGTATATGATATTGATCTCAGTGTCAAAGGCACATTTATTTGGAAATACCAAACAAGATGTACTCCGATAACCATGCAAGATTTTGTGAAGCCAAATACATAGTGTATTCAGGGCACCCAAAAAGTTAGTTGTTGTAATGCAAATGTGAAAATATGATATCGATTAAATCTAAACTTATCGTAAAAAGGGAACTGTGAGTAGTTACCTATATGTAAAGATAAGGAGATGAGGTATGATTGCCAATGAGACAACTATCCACCAAAGTACAAATTAATTGGATGTAAGCAGTTATAGGCAACCTTACGGCCTTCAACAATGAGAAAAACCCATACGGTATAGTTGGCTATAAAAGGTGCTGACATGAAAAATATGAAGCAATTCAACTGAGAAAACTAACGGCATAATTTATAACAAAACAATTAACAAAAAAACAAATATGACAGACATGAACCAACGACAACCACTGAACTACAGGCTCCTGACTTGGGACAGGCATATAAAGAATGTGGCGGGGTTAAACATGTTTGTGAGCCCTTAACCTTCTTCTAGTTTACTAAGAAGTTTTTTTTAAGAAAACTGTTTTATCATTGTTTGTATGTTTAAATTTCTATTCATATCACGGTGTACTGATTAGATTTGGAAAGATGCAGTTTAGCGTTAGGCAAATAAAATAATGGTAATGATCGTTATTTATGCATCAATCGAATTCCAGAATTTTTTTTTGAAATACGAATCACAATGTGAATGAACATACTATATATAAAATATTCCACAAATGTGTTAAGACATCACTTGCTGAGAACAAATATATGTAAAATAGCAATGATTTATTTTCATTGATGAAAGAACATGTTGTATTGATGTTTAACTATAATATAATTAGATCGAAATTGTCTTATCGTATTTATCGGCGGTTCTATGTACGTGTGCAATGTGCGGGTTAGTAATTTTTTCTCACTATATTGATAATAACAATTAAGACATTCATACTCAATTATGTTTATCTTTCAACATTGTCATTCATAATAAGGAATCGGTAAGATGATTCCAGAATATTTCTTCACCTTCAATATCATCGGGAAAATCTATGTAAACCTCCTCTTGTACAATTTGCATTATCTTTTGGGGAGTTCGTTTTTGAGGTATTTTCTCCTTAAAGACAAGTATTAACATATTTGTGCCTTGTCGTGACATCACGTTTTCTGTATGAGCCATATGCACTTCATACATACACCATTCTGATTTTAAAAAGGCTTCCGTGATTATAAATATTACCTTTCGGCTTTGGTGTATAGCATTAATGATATTATCTGCAATATCGCACCCGGGAATAAAATCTCGATGATGAATGCAAAGTCTCAAATTTCCTTCTTCTTCTAGTTTTGTTTTAACACTTTTTGTTACAAAAAGTCTGTCTTCATCTGCGTATGAGATAAACGCATCAAAGCGGTAACTCTTTTCATCTGCAACCCCATTGTATCCCCGAACATATTGACGTTTAGCTATATAATACCAATATCTTAATTTCCATCGGTGTCTATAAACTATGGCAATCACTAATAAAGCTAAAAAGCATATTATCAAATTGATTGATAAAACTATTAAACTCACATAGGAGGAACATTTCTTTTTCAAATATGCGTTTGCGGTTGGGATATCGGTGATATTGGTTTCAATAAGCTGACAGTTATAATGCTCAAAATTTTTGAATATTTCCTGGCGCTTGATAAGCCACATAATAAAAATGTGAGAATCATAATTACACTGTATTGGATTAGAAGATAAATCTACAGTAAATGTTTTAGAGAAACTTGAATCAATTAAAGCCATCCCAGTATCAGAAAGAAAAAGAATTTGGTTTTCAGACAAATCAAGATAAATCAAATGTCTCATTTGTTCAATATTAACATTCCAATCAGTCAGTTGGTTTTTACTTAGATTTAAATAACGCAAATTTTTCAGATTCCAAAATATTTCTCTCGGTAAGAACTTAATTCTATTCGATGTTAAACTTAATTCTTTTAGTTTTGATTGCATTGAGAAAAGGTTTCTTATATTTTTATCCTTCAGTATTTGTGCACTCCCAATTAAGTTATTATCCAAAACGATTTTTTCCACTGCTATCAATTCACTGAAAACGTAAGCGGATAAATGGGAACATCTATTATTTGAAAGATCTAAATATTTTAATTTAGTTGCATTACAAATTGGTCCAATGAGTGAGTAAAACTGATTGTGACTTAAAACTAATGATTTGAGATTTGACGAAGCGAAATAAGTATATTTTAAAGTATGTCCTAATCGAGAATTATTCATTACAATGTGTTCAATATTGCGGGGAACAAAAATCACTTTTACATTTGCTGCATATGGTTTTGGAGTGCTACATCTCAAACGATAAGAAATATTAGTTTTTCCATTGTTAACATTGTCGAGTTTCTTCTGTGCATAGAAGTTTTCTTGCCTTCCTGGTAAAAGACACTCTTTAATACACAATTCCGGAACACGGGGATTCAAACTCGTTCCGAATGAACTGGATCGAAGTTTTTCACAGTTAAGGATGCGAATAAAATTTAGACAGTCTACATACTGTTCATCAGAAGATATTTGATGTTGATTCATATCACTGATATCAAGATAGGTAAGATTTGTCAGCCCAAATGTGTTACAGTATGTATATCTATTCTGAATCCATCGATTGTTTTTCAACGTTAAACGTTTGAGTGACGCAGGCAGATAATACAACACCCCAGTTTGCGCAAAATCAATATTGTTGCCGTCAAAATACAATTCTTCAAGAGAAGTATTCGTGAACGGTTTAATATCTTCACACAAAAGTGTGACCGAAGGGCCAGCATTACAATGCAAATAATTTGCCCTTAAAATCCTGATCTGAGTAAACGGAAGGTCCTGGGTAATATTCGAGAAACCACATAATCCTAATTCTCGATTATAAGAGATATCAAGAAATCTCAGGTGTGATAACTTTGAAATGGCTCCTCTATAAATATAAAAAAGAGAACACAATGATGTTGTCCAGTTCATTGCCGTGAAATTCCGATCGATTTCTGATGAAATATCTAATGTTTTTAAATTCGATAGATTATCAAAGTAGTCTTCCTTTATGGTAAGTAGTCTGTATTCATTACATGAGCCATACAATCGCAAATGTCTTAAAAATTTATTGTTTGAAATCCAACTCCAAAAGAAATTTTCTCAGACCCATCTATAGCAAAACTTTCTAATGATACAAGAGGTTTTATAACGTGATCCAAATTTCTGAATTCAAATTGAGTTAACGTGTTTCTTGTCAGATCGAGACTTTTTAACTTTGTAAGTTTCATAAATATATCTTCAGGGTAAGCTTGAGGATCCAAAGGTATAAAATTCGAAGATAAATTAGGCGATGCTAAATTATTGATATACGAAAACAATTTCCTCGACTTGACAGTGTCGACTCTTTCTAGTAGATTTCCGGAAAGATTTAAATGTTTTAATGTAGTAGGAAAATCAAGTGTTGACGGAAAATCATTCAGTTTATTATAACTAACATCTATTGTTACAATGCCATCGAAGAACTTTGGATAAGAATTAAGGTTTAGTCCTGAACAATCAGCAAGTAATCCCGATTCTACCTCCTTGCACTGGCATCGCTTTTCTGTTGTGCACTGTTGACTGTTTTGTCCAACTATAAAGTTGAAATAAAGAATATTTACCATCCAGATCAACAGCAGTTTATCCATAAAGAATACTAGTCAAAATACTTAAAACCAATGTATTCAAGTTTCAAAATTAGCTGAGAAATGTTAAGTTTGCTAATATAAAGTTTTATCATATGAATATTGGTGTGTAAAATTTTTGTTTTAATGTACGTATCAAGGGTAGGGAATTCCGTTTGTAATTTTAGAACCGGGAATTTGATATAACTGTGCTATAATGTGTCATTTTCAAAAAATGTCAAAATCGCATATTTCATGTTTACGAAAATATAATTCATAAAATAATGCATTTAACTGCCTACTTAAACGGATGTAATAAACTTTTAGTGCTTAATGTGTTGACATGTGATATGAAGTACGTTTGAGTTTTGTGGCTATATTTACTTAAAAGCACATTTAAATGTCATATATCGGTATGGGTCGTAATTCGATAAAAGATGACGAGAGTTCAGAGATAAGTATTGCCTAACCTTATTCGTGTCCTTGTTTCTCTTGTTTACCTGCATTCTTAATTTTTATAACAAAATCTGTTTATCATCAGATTTTGGCATCTGCCCCTTTTAATTTTGCCTTTTTGTAATTTTGGTCTCGCCTTGACGGAGCAAAACAGCGAGACTTAGGTATGTTGTTTCCGCTACCGCCGCCAACAATTGGTTAAAGTTTGTGATTAAGTCAGTTTAAGGGGAATCAGCCGGTGGCGGCGGTAGCGACGGTGGCGTCGAAAAGTGCTGTCAACAATTGGTTAAAGTTTGTGATTAAGTCAGTTTAAGGGGAATCAGCCGGTGGCATCGGTAGTGGCGGTGGCGGCGACAACGGCGCCGTCAACAATTGGCTAAAGTTTGTGATTAAGTCAGTTTAAGGGGAATCAGTTATGATAAGTCAATGATATTTTGTACACAATTGAATTAGCATTGACACTTTTCATTTCCATGGAGATTATTTTGCCCTGCCCCTCAAGTCAGGGTCTTTTGACTTTGAAACTTTTGCATAGTTAGCATGTTCAAGTTTGTGTTTTTTAAGGGGAACCACTGGTAATAAGTAAATGATATTTGGTATGCAGTTGTAAACCATTGGTACATCTCATTTCCATGGAGATTATTTGGATCCGCCCCCTCAGACATGGTCTACTGATTTTGAAACTTTTGCATAGTTAGCATGTTTAAGTTTGTGTTTAGGTCAGTTTAAGGGGAACCACTAGTGATAAGTAAATGATATTTGGTATACAGTTGTATAAGCATTAGCGCATCTAACATTACATGCAGGCGAACAATATCTCTGTCTCAACAGTTTATTCTTCTAAATACTGAAGATATTGGCAATCATATCATATTGCCAATAAGACAACAGTTATCAACTATAACACATTCCGAAATTTTTTTGGCAGATATAAAACGATATCATTACGACGAATGAATCAATTGAAATAAAATATGCTTGATGTTTGCCGATATCTCAAGAGTTTCTTTCAATGAAGTGATTAAAAATCCAAAATAGTTTACATATAATCATTGCCCGACATTTGTACATTTTGAAATAACGGTGATTTCAGTTATTATAAAGGTTTAGGACATTTAATAATGGATGCTTGCATGATACAACATAACATATATTATAGTTGTGAAAGAAACAATATAACTAAGTTATAGATGTTTCATACTTTTTGGATAGTGTTGCGGTGTTTCATAAATTATATCATAGCTTTTGTTTAAAACCCCTGCAATAACCTCACGAGACGAAGTCGAGTGAAGTTTCCGAGGGTTTTCAACAAAAAAACTATGATATAATTTACGATACACCGATAAAATATAAAAATATGGAATATCTGTTTTAACTATCGCAACTTTCTCTGTTTAAAATTTCATATTTTATATATTCTTTAGGGTTAATTTTAAAATAATTTTGATAAGAATCAGTTAGAATTTACCCGTTTTGGGCCTTACACATATAACTGCACCTAATTTCTACAAAAAAGCACGGGCTTCTGGAACAGCGGGAATATCAGTTAGACAAGATCCTTTGACAGCGATGGATGTACATTGACATTGTTGTCACTTATCTCTTATCTGTAGGGCTGTAATGCTACAAAAGACATTAGGGGTAAGCATGAATTTCGTGGACGCAAGAGAATACAGATTTATGACATTTTGAAAGAGCTCTGGAATCCCAGATTAAAAGCTGAAATGCAAAAGGGCTAGTTTTTTTTTAATTTAATCAAAAAGTTTGAAAATATTTTTATTTAAATATCAATTTATAATTCTAAGGATTAATTTCACAGTAATCTTTTCTTAGTTTTTGAATGAATCATACCACGTTTTAATTTGTATCAAAAGCCCAAGCAGTACATTAATTAAAAAGGTTTACAAAATGTTCACGATAAAAATAACATTTTGCCTAGATATACTTAAACTACTAAAATTTAAGCTTCACTTAGAGTAACCAGACGCTATCTTATTTTTACGGTCCAACATTATGATTATTACTTAGGCAATTTCGTTAAAATCGAGATGTCAGCAATGTAATATAAGTTATTTTTTTTAACCTTTAGCTGTACAACGGAGGCTATGGGAATACAATCAAAGTATACATCTCAATAATCGAAAATCAAAACTCCCCCAACTTATGTTTTCAAGTGATAAATATAATTTTATATTAATATTACTCTTAACATATCTTTTGTTTTTGTTAACTCAATGAAAAAAAATGTGTCATTTTATATATATATTTTTTTTAAATTTTATTTATTGTTTTATTTGTTGTTTGTTCTGGGAGCAAACTTTTATGCATTTAAAAAAAAAAGGACAACGAAGTTGGCGTACGTCGGTTCGATTCCCACCCTATATCGACTGGTGCAAAGCGGGCAGTTTAGCTAAGTGGCACCGCGCTGACTCTGTTGTTCATATGTCTAAAAATTCAGCCTACCAAGGCCAAGTTTTGCTCTCTTTCTTTTCTTTCTATTTTTTTTTCGAAGTTCAGATATAAATAAAGTTAACCCATGGTATAATTTTTACATAGCTATGGTATACTTTTGTTTACTGAGTTTTATACTCGGCTTGCATTCCCAAAGGCTCCATTGTACGGCTATAGGTTAATTAATGATCAAATTGTAACTTTAGTGTATAATAGAGATACCTAGACCAGTGTATCGCTTTGATATTTTAGAAAATAAATAATTAACTTTTCTTAGAAACATTTGTAACAGAAATTAGCAGTAAATCAATTTCCATTGTAGCTTATAAAAAGAGTGAAGGCTCCGCGTTGAAGGCCGTACTTTGACCTATAACTGTTTACTTTCTACACATTGTGACTTGGATGGAGAGTTTTCTCATTGGCACTCATACCACATCTTTTTATTTATATTGGCATAGATATATTGGAAAATGCTTTCGTAAAAAAATCAGAAATAAGAAGAAAAATATACAGATCGCTGAAACTAATGAAATGAAAATAATACTTTATAAATTTCGTGCATCCGAACCGCTTTTGTGGATAACCTTCATCAGGAACCAAATCCATTTTTTTAAGAGCCAATTAAACACCTGAATACTTGAGGAGCTGTAGGACCTAGAATTAACTTTTTTTTATATAAAAGTATGTCGATGGTATGGTTATATTTTATGAATCCGTCGAGGATAAGGTGGAAACTATGTGTTTAACATTACTGAAATTGTAATTTTTAGACATAGTGGTACTGTAAAAAAATAACGAACAAGGTTTTTATAAAAGTGTTCAAATTGGCATTGTAGATAATTTTACTAATTTTAATGGAAAACTTTAAAAAACACAAAAGCATGTTGCTGATAAAGGAAGAAAATCTATGATTGCTCTTATAAATAACTAAATACCAAACCTTATCATTTGAATTATATTAACTTGTTGTCTGTGTTTGATACTTATGTAATGAGTGTTTAATGCTATTTGTATTGAGTAATGGGGTTTTCACAAAGCACCAGATGTGGATTTTTGTATATTTATAAAGTGCCAATATGCCTAATAACCAGGCAGTGGTGAAAACATGACAAACAAAAACCCGCTCAGCTTTACATTAATTTAAGTTCAGAATGCATAATATAACATTCCTTTCCTTTCCCTGTTCTGGTAATTCAAGATATAATTTGGTTGCACTAGAAAATAACAATTAAGGGGAGATAACTCCGTAATTTGCTATCATTGTAACCGAAAGCAGAAGGTCCGGTAAGGGCTGATTTCGGCCTAAAAATTCGAAGTACATCTGATGCAAGATTTTTTACATTTTTTAAACACGCAAGTGTCTACTTCAGTCGATTCAATTAATTGATGTTAAATATTTGAACTGATTTGTTCATTAAAGACGCTCAAATTTAAGCTTAAATAGGAAAAATCTATCAAATATGCCATAAAACGTCACTTTTCAGATGGTTTTTTTTTTTTATCTAAAATGGAAGTGTTCGCATTCGTGTTCAGTCTCAACATTTATATATGTTATGTTTTATCGTTAGATACAAACTATATTTGAATATTAAGACTGAACACAAGTGCGGCCACTTCCATTGTAGACAAAAAACCGTCTTAAAATTAGCACAAATTCTCAAATTAAGACGACTTCAGTATTTTTGCATGCAATAATGATGTTAGTACCTGATGCATGTCCATTGTATTGTCAAAAGCAACCCATATTTATGTAACAAAAATATTCTACTTTCCAATAAATAGCTAAAAGTGACATTTTTAACTACTTAGTAAAAACGCTATATTTTGGGGCCAAAAGGGGGTCTTACCAGGCCTACTCCAAAGATATGTCTCGAATTACCAGACACGCAGAAACGAAAGACCTCCCATTTCTAACTCAGGATGAGGGTACCTTCAAAATAGGTTGGTTAGGTCGGTGGGTTTTTTTCGTCCATGTTTTGAAATTTTTCTAAATTGCCTGATTCTTACAAAGACTGGCACTTAAAGACATCAAATTATGAGCTTCGTATGTGATATGTGTTTGGAATAACCAAATAACAAGAAGATAAACGGGTTTGTTTTGTTCTAAGTGAGTTATTTCACCTTCGTTTTTAAAAATTACATGTGGTATGCACAAAACTCTCTATGTAGAGAACAGATTCGCATAATAAAGCAGAAGCTTCATGATATTATTGAACAAGAATTTGTAGGGAATTAAATGCTTCATCTAAACTTTATATGT